AAATGTCAAAAATTCTGTGTTTTTCTGTCAATATGGGGTGCTGTGTGTACATTAATGAGGAAAAAAATGAACTTCAATTATTTTAGCATATGGCTGCAATATAACAAAGAGTGAAAAATTTAAGGGGGTCTGAATACTTTCCGTACCCACTGTATGTGTATGCTCTCAAGATTAAAACATGAAAAGTTATTATGTGGTCTCTCACATTTTTAAAATCAGTTAAGATTATAAAATCCCTTCTTTCAGGCCCTGCCTTAGGGTTGAATAGTGGAGTGTTTGTTAGCCTGGAGGAAAAGCCTTTCACTGCACTGTTATGAAGAATATTTGGATTACTAAGAAAAATTAGGATGACACAAATAGACACAAAAGAAAATGAACAATTAACAATTAAATCCACAGTGAGGCTGCGATGAAACACAGTTGTCTCCTTTCTGAAACTCTACCTGGGCTAGTGATATAAAAACACCTCCTCACCTCTTCAGAAAAGAAAACGGCTAGAAATTGGAGATATACAGTATATGTACAGAGTGGGCAGCACTTTTCCTAATATTAACCATCTGGTCCATTAATTGGCTAATGGAGTATGTATGGTACAGACCCTCTCAGGGGGAGTTGAGCAGCAGTTGCTGATTTCCCAGAAAGAATACAGGTATCAGCAGTGCATGTAATGTTTGGAGCTAATGAATATGTTACAGCACAGAGAAAATCTCTATCAAAACACAAAATTTCTCAGGAACCCATATCGAACTTTTTAGGATTCATCCTCTGCAAACCATGACTGGCACAAAATTTTGTCGCAATTTGAGAATTGAGATTTAGAGATATTTTATAGAATAAGTGAAACTTTTGAAATTTCAAACACAGAAGGAGAATAAATGGAATTGCATTATTTAGGATGCATAAAAGGTACCTGTATCCCCCTTTTTATTTTATTTTTTTAACTGTATCCCTTTTAAGTTACAGAGAAAAAAAAGCATAATTAGGTTACTGATACATTTAGTAAAAATGACTATTATTAGCCAGATTACAATCTTAATATTGTATAATAAAGAACAATATACTATCATACACGTGCTCACACATTAAAACTCTTCACAAGTCTCACAATACCATTCTGGTCTCGAGTGAAACCGGAGCTAATCTTGTACCTCCTGTGCCAAAATCTGTTTCTTTGTTGAGATGTGTTTCCCCATAACCTGAATCTAACCTTATCCTAACCACAACCATCAAGGAAGGAATTTGAATGTGAAGTGTTAATAGCACCCCGTGACCCCGTTTAGGGACAAGCGGTAGAAAATGAATGAATGAATGTTAATAGCATACACTTAATAACATACAAAGTAGGCTACACTTAAATTAAATGTGCATAATTAATGTTACCACTGTTAGAGTTGCATTATTCATGCATAACAAAGAAAGGAATGTCTGGATAAAGCTAATCATAAACCATCAGATCTGTTAAAAAATGCAGGGGATGCTGTGAGTGTTTTGTCTGCTCGGACACGGAAGAGAGCGAGTAAAGATAGGCTGACCCAGGTAGCTGACATCAGTGCAAGCAGTGCTAAATTTATTTACAGTGAGGTGAGAAACAGTCAATAAGAAAACAGGCAAGTGTAGAATGATGGGAGTAACCGGGTGTCGATCAGCAGCAGAGAAACCAGTTTGTGGTGAAATGGATGGGAGTAGGCAGGGCTGCGGATGCTGGGGTCACTCCTGAGCTGTTCGACGGAAAGACGGTGGTGATTGTGGAGAAAGAAGACAGGAGTTTGTACCAATGAGCTCAGGTGCATCGACCTGAAATGGTGGAGACTGGAAGGGCTGAGTAGGTCCAGGATCCGGAGGAGACGTCCGTGGAGGAGGAAAACAGCAGAAGGAGAGTGTGGCAATGGAGAGTGGAAGATAGTACTGGTAGGAGCTAGGAGAACTAAGGGTGAGAGACAAATGATCAAATACAAGAAAACAATGATCGAATGGGCCTGAGAACAAGATTAAACTGGCAAGGGAGTGATAGGTTAGCGGGGTATAAGTAAGGATAGAACCAATGAGGTGCAGCTGGTGACAATCAGGGGGTCTGGAACAGGTGTGCCAGGTGATGTAATTGGGGCCGAAAAAGAGAAACAGAGTAAGAGAGGCAGGGGCAGCCGGGCAAACCTGACAGTGAGGATGTTCTTAACCCATGTACTAAAACAAAGCACTATCTGTTTACCTTGTAAAAGGAGCATATATTATGTTTCCTTAGTAAAAGATACTATTCTGTACTTCAGTTTGTAAGAGGTAGGCTGACCGCCTGAATTGACTTTAGTTTTCATTTTCCATCCTGTGTTTGTTCTTTTTTTCAGTAGTTGAACTCATATGCTACAAAATAGTGCAAGTGTTCTTAATGTATGCGTTAAACTAAAATAACACATTTCCCAATGGCCTTATTTTGGTTTTGTAAACTGTACGATGTGGTCACTTTCACTGTAGGTCTATAGACTACTGCACAAATTTGCTAATGAAAAGCAAATTCTAAAATTATCCTGAGCAGAGGAAACATTTTTAATGCTGCTGCTAATAATAATGATAATAATCATAATAATAATAATGCCATAAAACAAGACTGTATGACAGTTTAGATGTTTTGCAAAATATGAAGGATGTGATGAATGAAACCAAAGCTTGTTCTGAAAGTTGATGGTTGTATATGAGCCATCTGGTTACAACACAGGATGGATCTCATGGTATTGATGCTAATGACAACAGCATCACTCAGATCTTTTGGCATTTTTGAATGTTAATATATTTGTATCAAAATGCACCCATTAGGTTTATCCATTATCAGACTCTGGAGGCCTGGAAAATAAGACTCTCTTTTGGCTTCATGTCACCAGTCTAGCCAAAGCCATTATCTCCTACCAAATATCAATACTACAGTTTTTATGAATCTGATTAGTCCATAAAACACCACAGGGCCTTGAGATCCCAGTGGACTTCCTGTGAACCTATGGTAATATCATTGTCTGGTCCTTCCTGGCAGAAATATGACATCATTTAAGCCAGATGGCAGGTGAAAGGGCTTCTGGGTATTAGTGTGTCTCTTCCTGTGAGACTTTTGTTCTGTTTCCTGACAGCACAAGTTAAAGTGAGACCACAGTGCTTGTACACAACTGTGCTGTGAGTTCATAGTTTCCATACTGTTTGTGGTCCACAAAACTACACCAGACCGACTTGGATAGAGGTGTAAAAATGATATGCATATCATGCAACACTACATCAGGCCTCCATCAAAATTTTCATTACACAGATAATGCAGAGAAAATGAGATTCTGAATTACTAAAAATAATCAAGGCAATCAATGGCTCTGGGAATTAGGTTAATCCAGCACTGAAAAATGGGGATTGTTTGAAATGAGATTGCTGTTAGTAAAATACAGACATTTTAGCGTTGTTGCAAACCTGTCAATTATCTGTGAGGAACAGCAGTTGGGGGTCAGAGGTCAGTAATGACCTGAGGTAATAGGGAACTCTAGCACCAGTGGGAGGTAGTGTGCTTGTATGGATGTGTGTGGATCTCTTTTTTTGTTGCAGCAGCAATCCAACATCTGGAATTAGTGAGCAGTCTGGTGGCTGCTGCCAGGGTCACCACAGTGGGAGGTAAACTCCCTCCTCCACCTGCCCTCAGCCCTTCTCCTCTCCACTCCCCTGCTGTCTTTCATGCAACAGCATGACTGAGTCTTATTAGCTGCAGACTGACAGGCGTTCACATAGAACCATTCTCTGAGTCAGGAAAGATCCCGTGAAAGACGATGTTGTGTAAAAGTGGTCAAGCCTATTCAGATGTTGTTATTCCACTAGGCTGAAGTTGTTATCATGCCAATAATTATGATTCTGTAGGTCATTATTAGGCTATAGACTTTTGGTGTCATGGCTATAATAATAAACAAAAACAAATTATATATACAGAATGGACAGCTAGCAGACAGAAAATAACACTTGCTAAATTTGATTAAAAAAAAGGGTATTGGACTAGAATTGCTTACTACACCTTTAATGGCTGTGGAGGAGATAAGGTCTCCTTATCTTGACTCTGGTGATAGGTCACTCTGAGTCAGTTATTTGGTTTGGTGTCTAAAGTGCTGTTGACCAGCATTCCTGAGGAGATTCTGCTTCTGGGGTCTGCTCTGAGGGGACATCATCAACCATGATGTCTGTGGCGACATCAGGCTCGCCATCTAGAGCTATACAGAATGTCATTTTTGACTAATCAAATGCACTCACTGGCCACTTAATTACATACATCCTGTGCAACACTTCTACCTTAACATCTGTGTTTATGAAACTTTTTGTTTGTTTGTTTTTGGTGAAAGTGTCAGAAATGTATAGATTTAATTATGTTAATTACTGAGGTCATAATTAAAGGTGGTCTTGTACTGGACTATAATATATTCAGAGGTGTTCCTAATATTCTGACCCTCTCATATACTATATGTAGCTGGGGAGGACAAAAATATAGAGACGCCTCTGAATATAATGTAGTCCAGTACAACACCACCTTTAACTAATCATTTTACATCACAAATAAATACAACATTTTTTGCACTTTTTATCACAGAATACAGGTCCAGATGCTGGAACTAAGGGAGCAGCAGGCAACAGAGAGGGAATATGCTGAGATCCAAGATGTTGTCAGCCGGACCTTCAGCTCAGACGAAGAGCACACCTATGCTGGCATCGGATCATTAGACTTGTTGATAGATAGCAGCAGCATGGACGATTACAACCACCACTACCATCTTCCTCAACGTCCTCAGAGTCCTCACGTTCCTTTGAGGCTTCAGGACAATGGCAAATCCCTGGAGGCTCTGTACGCCCAGGTGAACAAGCCTCGCAATGGCCAACCTGCTGCTTCAGACAGGTAGGGGATGACCAGAAACAGTTCATATGCTGGCATTGCAAGATTCCAGTGTGCCTACAGCTCTCTACCTCTCTCATTTATTCAAGTGATACTGACTAGCTTTGTGCCTGGTGCTTGTGCTTGGCAAGAAACTTGTTCATGTACACTCCATCTATAATGTATATCCCGTGGTGTGATTTTATTTGTTTCCTTTTACTAGTCATAGGTGAAGCATGTTGCACAGAAAAGCAATTAATTTTGCACAGGGTGTTATGGCTGCCTTACCCCACAGCACAAGAAGACAGAATCTGTGGACAAGAGCCTTTCAGTAATCCTTCATGCGTTAGAGTTTAATATTAGACGGTACATCCTCGGATCACAGGCATATTCCTTGGCCTCTCACTCACTTTTTCAAAGTTTCACACTGCACTGGGGGGTTGTATTACTCAGAAATTCCAGGTCAACATGATTATTTGACGTGGCAAGAATGCTATGCAGAGCTTTAGATTTCTATTACTGTTGATAGGTGACTGCCAAAAAGACAGTTTTAAGTCATTTGTGCGTTTTCACTTTTTCAGCTACAGTAAAAAAGGAAGTGTATGTGATTTCATGTGTTTGAATGAAAGTGACTTAGATTGTTACATACTTTACCAGCAACATTAAATCCCAAAAGATGGACTACAGCTTAACAACTTGCTTTTCACTTAAAGGTGCATTAACTAAGATTTTATACATTGTCTGATAAATCAAGTGAAAACTGAACAGGATGTGGTGTCTCCCAGCTACATTAACTTGTAACTTGCAGCTCTTCGGTTGTTTTTGCAGCCTCTCTATCGTGTATAAAATAGAATCCGTTAATTCATAGCGAAGGTTATATGAATCATTCTTTAAAGTATGAGTAGTTAATTTGCTCAGCCAGCTATAAAGGACCTCTGAACTTTTGTTAGAAATAAAGAGAAAAAAAGGGTTATGCAAAGTTCTGCATGATGGATGTGAGTGTTAATAGATGTGTTGTAACTGATAACATTTCTATAGATATAAGTAATTATTCAGATAGTTTTGGTTACTTGGGTTTATTCAGATGTGGCCAAATTGCCTCTGAACATATGAAAGCTGCACTGTATTCTTCCTTGTTTTCTGTTGTTTTGTATTTGTGCTGTTTTTATTTCACCAATTGGTGTAGCATCTGTTTTGGATTGGAATACAAACACATCATACTGCTTTCGAGGATTAAAAAGAGCAGTTGCTTGGAGATAGAGAGTTCTCACCTTCACAAGTTTATTTCAGCATAAAAAGCTTAGAGTTTCTTGTTAATTATACATACAATCCTACATTTAGTTTGGGGTCTGAGCCTTGGGTTTTGACAGCATTTTATTTTTAGGAATGAGATTAACTGTTGCGAGTATTACTGAAATATGCACTCCATGCTCGCTGCTGCATTTTTGTTTTTCACCTCTCACTGCTTTGCATATCTTGTGTATGCCAGCCCAGCTGTATGTCTGTAGTATTTGCCTTGCTGCCTGTGAGATATAATACTATGCACTGGCTGTTATTTAGCTTAGAGGATTTCTATTTGCAATTTGCAAAAAGGAGCTTGAAACACATTCAAATTCAAGATGACTGTCACTTAACTCCTAACAAATATAAAAAGTAATTTACATTTTTAAATTAAACTTAATGGAACTTGCATTGTTAAACTACAAAGCACCAACAAAACTGTCCATGTATCAAGACAGGAAAATTGCCCTCAGACGTCTGATATGTCATATACTGTAGGTATCCAGT